TCGATGCCGCGCTGGAAAATACGGCAAACGACGGAGAACGAAGAATATATAAGGAATAACGCGCGACGTGTGCGCCCGTTTTTCTTTTTTTGCATGAACCAATCGAGACACACATACACACACACAAAATGTATATATGTATGTATATACAGGACGTCCTGGATTTTCGTGACTTTTGATTTTACCGAAAGAGTTCTCTGAAGAATTTCAAGTCAACTTTTCCTCAATGGAAATGTCGAGGCACCAATAATACACAAATTTCATAAATGGATAAAAAATTATTTTCTCCGATTTATTTTAAACGGACTTTAACAAAATTTTAATTTGAGGCTTGGCTAAAAAGATGTTGAAGACTGAAAAGTTGTCATAAATAATGACCTCCCTCGATATTTTTGCTTAGGAAAAATTAAATTGTTTATCTCTTGATAAAATTAAAAGTCGCGAGAACTGGGACACTCTATATGTATATGTGTGTAGATTCTATTTGCACACCACGGAAACCGAGATTTTTCGAGTTTGGGACACCCTGCGTGTGTATGTGTGTGTATATATATACATGTATATAGTTACACTTGCATTCGAGGTATCTTCGCATCTTGCGACGAGACGTCGATCGAATTCGCTTCTTCGTGTGCTCTATATGTGGTTTGATATAAATAATTAAAAATTATGACACACTGCATAGAAAAATATGGTTCTTCATTGCCATCCCTGCTTCTAAGTGACTCGCGTATTCGAGTCACATCGAAGTCTCGTGTACTCTTTTTAGATTTTTTTGTTTTCCGCTACCCTTGTCGAGTAATCGTGTCACATGTGATGATTAATTTAAGAAAATCGCCTCTACATTATCCATTCTTCTCAACGGTACGTACGTACATTCGATGCTCGGAACAAACGAATCGACTGAAAGTATTGACGAATCAACGAGACGGCGATAAAGAGACTTGAAATTAATTACGCGCCATATGTTACTAAAAAAAAAAAGGAAAGAAGAGAAAAGAAGAGAAAATGTGTCATATTACAATGTACAATTGTCTTCGTTTCGAGCAACGATTACAAAGGACCAAGAAAAGATCTTACATTCGAACAGTACATCGTGAAATAACGAATTATCGTACAATTGCGAGAAGAACGCTTAAAGAATATGGAACGTTTACATATCATTTATGTGATTCGTCGTCGAATGGAAGTCGTTGCCAACTCGAGAAGTCGTTCACGGCTTTCTGGGGTTTCACATAAAAACTATTAAGCGCGTCGCAAGAGAATTGGATCTTGTTTTCTCCATTGTGTTTACCACTAGTCTTTTTACTATTTTATCATTATTGTTATTAGTATTATTATATTTTCGGTATTAATATCATTATTATTATTATATTATTATTATTATTATTGTTGTTGTTGTTGTTAATATTACTATTATGATTATTGTAGTGTTAGTATTATTATTATTATTATTACAGTACATCTATAAAATCCATATTCTTAATTAACCACTTCTAATCGAGATGAAGGAGAATCAAGTCCAACCGATATCTCCAGTTTGCTCGAAACTGAACTGCGCGCCCAACGACAGATTTTCCGTACAAATATAACGACCCTTTTTTTTGCAGTCAATCCCGATTTTTTTTTCTCGCAATATTTGAAAATCAGTAAGTTCAACAAGTAGCACACTACAAGTTAATCTCCAAAGCAAGAAGAGACGTTAAAACCGAACAGAAAATGTTCCTTCTGGAAATATTGATTGAATACGTAATATACACGTGATGAATCGTATTTGTTCAGTAATCTCCTGAGTCACAGTATTTATTCTGTTAAAGGAACAAAAGGAATTCACTGCATTCCGCGTAGACGGAAGACGTATTTCACAAAATGGAGATGTATCGAGATTCGTCCCAAGATTTGTCTCGTGTGAAATGCTGTACGAAAAGAACGAAGGACACAAAATCGACAAAACCGACGGCTGCTCGAACAACGCGGAGGCGGATAAAGTATACACGCTGTTCCGAAAACAGAGAGGCACACGCGCCGCTTCTTTTTTTTTTAGATCTTAGATCTTACGATGGTGAATTATATGGGTGCGGGAAATCCAGCGCAATACAAAAAGGCACCGGAAAAGTATATCCTTTCTTTAGAAATGCATCAACTATTATTTTTTTCTTCGTTACTACAGGAACATCACTACAACTATAGCTCGACGAAACGGTCGATTGTATAGCTATATAATAATCAACGGTCCGCTTCGTCGAGGTTGGAAATAGGTTCTTTTAACTACCCTTCAAAATAGACCTTCTTGAGCCACTCATTTTGTTTGAACAGTCGAAGACGTGTGTCGAACTTTGGAAATATCTGCTTCTCCCAACTTCTTCCTCTTGCCATCTCTTTTATAAATTCTAAAGCTATTCCTCATTAAATCTTTGCATAATCCACCTACATCATCGTAAAAAAAAAACAAATTACTTTCCTCAAAAAAACTTATATCGACGCTTGCGCGTATTCTCATCGTTTTTTCATCGCGTATCGGGATATATGAAAACTCGCACACTTTCTCACACAGTTACATGTTTTTTTTTCTTTTTTTCTTTACAAAAAAAGTCATTTCACGGAATATTTTAAATCGTCAAGCTTTACTATGTTATTATCTAAGTCCCTTGAATTAAAAGAGTATTAAAGGCTACATTTTATTCAACATGTTTAGTGCCCGCAAGTGTTTCTTGTTCGGCATCGCTTAAATCTTGGAAAAAGCCATGAAGATGCCCCTATATTGAATGAAACAAGTCTTGGCTATTCTATCATTTGTATCAAAGAAAAGTGCGCGGCATTCAATATACTCCATGTACAATGCTTCTCTTCCTCTTCTCTGCTTACGATATAATTAGATTTTGTATACAAACTTACTCGCTAACGTATAATCTAAGACATATTCTCTGCCTTAAGATACAAATACATGGCAATGAATTTTCAATACAATTTGATCTTTTACATACGACTTTTAGCACGCATGTGTGTGTATGTATGTATGTATATATATTATATAGACATACGCACACATACATATATATTCACCATGTATGCAATAATTTTAGCATATATCATTATACTTGAGGTCTGACAAAACCTGAATTTTCTGTGTTACTTGTCCGACGTTTCATGCTAGAGATATGATGCGACGATAAATAAATAGAAAGATACGTACGCAAACGATTTTTTAAAGTGTCAGCAAATGTAATGTCTAAAATATCGCGCGAGCTAATGCAAGCGCATAGTGCCCAGCTGCACATAATGTCATAATGAGTGCATGCTTGCGCGATTTTTATCGGAAATGCAAAATGTAATACAATGATACGTTTTTTTTTTTTTTTTTTAAATAACTCCCGACAATTTTCTACGAAATTACTGAGTTACGATACATCCAAATGAAAATTGTATATATTACAAAATATCATAATGCCGATTATTATTCTGCTAATAATAGAACTTCTCCGACGAAAAGATATAATACTGAATTTCTATTTTCTTTATAATGATCACATCATATTTCTAACATCTTGCGTTACAATATATGCATGTTTATACAATACATATAGACATGTCCGATGTTATTTTACGATAATATCTATACGCGACTTATATATATATATATATATATATAGTATATGTTCACACACACACACATATATATATATGTGTTCACACATATACATGTTCATATATGTATATATATATATAGTATATGTTCACACACACACACATATATATATATGTGTTCACACATATACATGTTCATATATGTATATATATATATAGTATATGTTCACACACACACACATATATATATATGTGTTCACACATATACATGTTCATATATGTATATATATATATAGTATATGTTCACACACACACACATATATATATATGTGTTCACACATATACATGTTCATATATGTATATATATATATAGTATATGTTCACACACACACACATATATATATATGTGTTCACACATATACATGTTCATATATGTATATATATATATAGTATATGTTCACACACACACACATATATATATATGTGTTCACACATATACATGTTCATATATGTATATATATATATAGTATATGTTCACACACACACACATNATTATAATAACAATAATGATAATTAAAACATAAGTAAATCGCTAATTAAAAAAAACAATATGTAAAAATATTCATGATAGGTTTGAGTTAGCTGTACGATTTGCAGAACAAGTAAAACAAAATCACAGAATCGTCGAATTTTGCCTCTTAGAACAGTAATTTTGATTTATTCACTGCTCTGTCACATACATAATGTCTCAGATCTTTACATGTAATTTAATGATAATAATGATGACGCTAGTAGTAATAAGACGTAAGAATTATTATCGTGATAACGATAATGAAAAAAAAATAATACAAAAAATATAATAATTTTTTATGTATAATATAACGTTGATTATAAAATATCTGAATAATGTATAGCGAAAAAAAAAGAATTGGAAAAAGTAATTTAAAAAATGATGGCACAAACATTAATACTAAAATGAAGCCGAAGGTTATAACCTTAAAGGCAACCTGACATGATTACAACAGATATTCTCTGTGGGAAACAATCACAGTCTATGAAGATTTACGATGCGTGGATAAATATAAAAATTAAAAACTAATTCGTAATTAAAAAAAAAAATCATAGTATTACGTCACATATCTATGAAATAAAACTTACATTATAATCAGTACTCAATGTATATAACGAATATAAGAAGACCAACGAAAAATATGTATAAAAACAATGTAAAAAAAGTAATATAAAAGACTAATTAAGCTTCCAAAGTGTTTAGTACGATAAATCGCAAAGGAAAGTAACGATGAATTTGCCTGAGCAAGCACGCCCGTACGCAGTACGTTATATATATACATACGTAAAAAATGTGTATATATATATATATAAATATATAAGTAAAAAATTTCGAACTATATCGTAAAATATAAAATACTGTCAACTTTATATATAAAAGGAACAGAAAGTTTTAATGAAACGAAATATAATTTTTATCGACTGCGAAATATTGCTATGCTTTTGTCGCTTTTTTTCTGTCTCATAGAGCATAGTAGTCGTATTTAAAAATTTTATGATAATATACATTATCCTTTAAACGGGCACTAAAATTTCAAGCAAATATCTGCTTTCAGAAAATAAACAAAAGATGACGATTTCTAATCGGTGGGTTGACTCGTCTACGTTCGTATTAGAAATATCGCTCTACGCATCGTATAATTCCTATTTCCTTTACATTTGCACACTCGTTACCATTTAACTAGAAATCAAAACAAATTTACAACCACCGCGAAAATGACAGAATAACGTTCCAACGCAATGATATAAGAAAGAAAAATAAAAAAAGAGTGTCAATTATTTTCTTTTTCTCTCACTTTCACACTCTCTCCTTTCCTTTCTCTCTATCTCTCTCATCGGTCAGCTTAGTTTCTATATTAACACCGATCTTTCATAAAAATATCTTTTTTTTTTCTTCATCGTACACAACGTATGGCAAGAGTCTTTGACTTACAGTCAAACCGCGTCTACTCTAGAATATTTCCGTGGAAAATTAGTATTCTCTCCCACATGTGTACTTTTGTTTGTGCTATAAGGAGCTTCTATGTCTCTGCTTTATACCTTATGTATTATTACGTGTAACTCTGTGGTGGAAACAATACTGGCAATAAAAGTCGCGAACGGGACGAACATAAGAGCGCGCGCGCGCGACAGTTGAGACTCGAAAAAAAGAAAAAAGGGGGAATGACATGGCACATGGTTACATGGATGAAGAGACGAGACATAGGAAGCTTCATCCGGAGCACACACGCACATATGCGAGTACGTTTCATATATAAAAGTCACTAGTTTCCAAAGAATGAGTCAGTCGAAGCTACCTATCGACGGCGACACGACGATCAGTTAGCGTGTTGGTGTTACCTCTTCGCCGAGGTCTTCCCCTCGTCTCAGAAATCTTTAACGTGTCCCAAAAAGCTAAGCTCGTGCGACTGATAATGACTGGATGTAGCGAGCGGCGCGACGGTCGATTGATGCGCCACGTTGACCGCCGTTAAATGATGATGATGCAGCGAATGATGAGTAGTATGCGTGTGAAGAATATTGTTCGGATGGGGAACCTGGAAGTTCCCTGGTGGCGGGGCTCAGGACAGGAGGGGACCCGGGTGCCCACCCGGAAGAACGGACGACGTTGATACGGTAGTCGTTTGCATATTCGAAACATTATTTTGTTGTTGATTCTGTTGCGTACCTACGGACACAGCGAAGCGTTATAAAGGAAGGCAGACAGTTGACTCACGCCAATCGTATGACGGACTTCTTACCAGCGTTCTGACTCAGTTCCGCCTTCACTCTTCTCGCGATGTGACTTCTAGTGTGCTTCCGTAAATGATCCTTCCGGTAGAATCCCTTACCGCATTCCGTGCACACGTGCCGTTTCTCACCGGAATGTATTACAAAGTGTAACGTCAGCTGCTCCTTTCTCTTAAAAGCCTTCAAGCAGACGGTGCAAACGTAAGGCCGCTCGGGATTGTGGCTTTGTTTGTGACGCGTTAGATGGTCCTTCCGCTTTAGACCGGCGCCGCATATGTCACAAACGAATCTTCTCTCCAGGGTGTGGCCCAACAGGTGCTGTTCCAACAATTCTCGTTCCGGATACGCCATGTGACACTCGGGGCAGCAGTATAACGTCGAGCCGTCCAGCGCCGTCGTCAGACGAATCTCGCCGGGTTTCGGACGTGGCTTCTTCTCCTTCGGCGTCTTCTTCTTTTTCTTTTTCTTATTGTTCGGTGACATCATTATATTAGGCGTCGTTGTGGTGGCCACCGCCACCGAGGTCGTTTGCGCCATTTCGGACTCTTTCTTGATACTTTCGGCGGAATACTTGAGAAAGTGGTGCAAGCTCAACGGTAAAGTACTGGCCGGCAAGTGACTGAGATAGTCAGCTACGGTAGATCCGGGAGTGGCGAGCGATTGCCATGTAGCGGGCATAGTAGCTGGTGTTTGAGTGTGCGCGTGCTGTTGATGTTGGTGCATTGTGTAATCCTGCTGAGCACCGTTTGTGGCAGTTGTCTCTCCGTTGCGTTGTTGTTCCTCGGCTTTCTTCTCCTTGTTCTTGTCCTTGTCTTGAAGAAGATTGCAAACATCTTGCTGATTTATGGTTTCTGTGGATTGCTACAACGGAAAGTGCTGTGTTATCCTGCTTTGGTTTTCTTAAGAACAACCAATTTGATACTGCTTATTGGTAATTTAATCTATCGATACTCGGAAAAGTTGCCGAGAGAATGATTTTATAAATTAGGAAAATGAGGTCAATTTCTCCAAGCTCTTACACTACTGTCACAGATATATGGCCGAAAATATTCTGTATCCAAAAATAAACTTTCTCTGCGGTATAGTTGACCTTACCTGATGATACGAACGTTTCTCCTGCATTCCAGGCGAGTTGGTGGGCCGTTGTTGAACAGATTGAGCCTGAGAGTATGGCACGTTTGAATAATGGTGAACATTACTACTGGGATAGCTGGCTTTGTTGTTCATCATCACTTGCGACTGAGCAGATTGTACGGCGTTGTTCTCAGGACGGTACTTTCCCATCACCGGCACTCCGATCGGAGGCTGGTTGGGAAAATGATTGGCGTAGCGCGCGCCTGCACCGCTGGAACTGTCGGTCGCGAACTGATGGATACTCGGTATTGTGGTAGGAAAGTGGCCTCCAAACGGCGAGAAATTCATTGCAGACCGTCAATAGAACTCATATACCTGAGAAAGCAAACGTCGCTCTTGAGCGGAATCGACGTGTGAGGTTACTTCAGGAGTTACGTTCTGTACGCGAAAGAAAGATAGCGCACACCGACGACGACGACGACGACCGCTCACAGAGTCTGTCTGTCAAACGATACACCGGACTGATGTTGCGCGCTCATCAACGAACGCATTCAGTTTTCGTTCAGTTACCGTCATCATCATCGTCGTCGTCGTCGGCGACACGACGGCGGCATCTCGGTAGCTGACGCGATGCTCGCCAAGACGCGACTACGTCGAGTTGCGCCGACGACGTCGCACCGAGAGCGCGGCGCCCGCTTGTATTTACTCACAACGATGTCCCTCTCCCCATGTTTCTTCGCCGTACCGGATCCTTTCCTCGGAGGGGGATCTCCGTGATACGACAGCGAGCGCGGGAGCCGATTTTTCTCGCGCACAAGAGGATACCGGGGAGAGAGAGAGAGAGAGAGACGTGCCGGTAGACAAACACGCCACCACCACCGCGTCGACTAGCGTCTGTCACAATGAGTACGGGGGGGGTACGCCGGCTTCCTTTGTAACGTCGCTCACACACGCCGCCGTTCACGTTTGACACACTCGCTAGCCCGACGGCCCCACGCCAAGGGCGCACCGCGCGGATGAACGACGGCAGCTTTTGCCCCCTTTCGATTTGATCACGCGCAAGCGACGACACAGTCTCTCCACCGAGTTACGCTCAGGAACATGACGGAAAAAAAACACGAGGAAAAAATAATCGGCCGAGATGAAGACAACCGTGGGCGATGCACGGAGGGGAGGCCAATTGTCAAAGGGGGGTGGGGCGGGGCAGGGGATGCATGACGCCAGGGGACGCAAACGCCACCCTTCTCCTCCCACCTTTCTCTCTCGCGCCCGATACTAAGTCGATACCGTGCGGCGCTCCACACCACCGCACCAAACTCACTCACTCACTCTCTCTCTCTCTCTCTCTCTCCCCGTGTGGACGGAGAGGAGAAAATGGCTGTGCGTATGTTTCGTACGATCTCTCGCGCACTGCACGCTAGCTTGCGACCGATCCTAATGATCACCGGCCGTCGTGCGATTTCGCTCTCAGCACTTACCGCTCGGTAACCTCGCAACCCGCGCTCCAGCTCGCCTGGATTGTTTCTTCGCGCAGCCGACTGTCACCGGGAGAGATCCCTCGTTGTTCGTATATCGTTGACACCTGTCCTTCAAGCCGGCGTCCCCATCCCACCCATCCGCCCTCTACTGTGCCAACCTCTTAACTATTTTTTCTCTCTCCCGGGTCACCCGACTCCAGACGCGGGCAGCGCGCCGCGTCACGTCGCGCTTCTCCCCCCTCCCCATCCTGGCGCTCCGCTCTCATCGCGCCGAAAATGCCCGAATCGCACATCGGATTTTTCATCCCGAATTCTTCCCGCCCGACCGCTGTCTCGTTCGTTTCCTCGCTCATTGCCGCGCGGCGGTATATTTCGTCGTGTGAGAAACATACGTCGACGTGGCCTCCTTCGTCTACCTATAAACAGGACTGTGTGTTGACGCAATGAGCAAGGAGAGAACGTGCTTTTGTATTAAATGTATTTATTTTAGTTTCTTCTGCAGTATTAATGTAAGTAACAATGAAAATGACTTACGTGCTAGTCGTCTAACTACGATAATTATAGCGCTATAATATTATGATAATAAAATAATAATATTTCTTGTACAATTATACCCATTGCCTTTAATTGCGATACTGTAAGAATTTCTGTTGTATACATACACCTTTATCAAAGAGCTTTTTTTTTTCAGGTGAATCACGATCTGTCGATTATCATTCATTATTTCGCGTTCTTTTTATGCTGCATACACGGTAATAAGCATGCATGCATCACCATTCGACCATGTAAAACCAACCGAATGGAAAATGGAATCTCGATAAGCCTCATTGGATCATGAAATAATTACTATTCGTGGATATTCTAGCTTTAATGTTTACGATTTAGATACAATGTAAATATGCACGAGTTGTCATATTTACAATATATTTTCACTTGTTTGAAAAGATAACGATCCTCGTCACTGTTTTTAACACATGTGTGTGTGTGTGTGTGTGTGTGTGTGTGTGTGTTACTGAAGCGAATGGTTATGCTGCGTCGCGTGTCGAGCTTGGCAGTAAACGCGTCATCTATTTCTTCCCAGTGTGATTACCTCACGATCTCGTATCATTTAACGAATGTTTATAAACTGGATCGTTCGACCAAATCATCGATATTTAGTGTCTTCGAAAGGAATATCAGGATATCTCCGGAATAGGTGATCAAATCTCAGGTAGATCAGATATCAGATATCTCGTGGAATCCATGCAATCTTAGTGCTATTGCGTCCGTCGCTCGATTAGTCAGTTCCTACATTTCGCATACTTCGTATTGTCTTCATCCTTATAACGGACAGAATATACATCTAGCTTTGACCATCTATCTCCGAATCACCCCGTGTATACACATTACACCAACGATCGAAATTATAGAAAAATATAAGCATGCGTCAATATATTCCTAGAAAAAAAAAAATCTTAGACTGAACATGATGATTCACCGATTAATTAACCTCATTTGGGCCACGATCGTGTGTTGTACAAGAGAAATAAATAATATCCACCCTGCGCTAGTATCTTCATACGACAAAATGTTCTACCCTCATTGGGGGATGAAAAGCCGCGCCCCGTATTTACAACTCTCCCCGGTTTCCCGTTAATTCTTTTTTTTTTTATTTACGTATTTTACTATCGTAGAAGCGAATTATATTCAGCCCAAAACTCGATTGCCTTCTCATCTCCGGCGAATCCAGTCCGCGCTTTCAAAAATATATTTTTGTATTTATATATATAAACTTTTTCATTTATCTCTAACTTGCGTCATGGAACTGGATTAGCGACGAAAAAACGTTATGTCCGAGGCGAGCGGATGTTGCTGTCACTTCTTTCCACGTACGCTATAACGTGTACGTTCAAGAGAAACTCGTATATATTTATGTACGAACGAATTTCATCGGTACAGCTCAGAGTGCGTTCTTTTTTACCAAACACGCGAGTGTCGTGCACGCATACGAGCTGTATGTTTGCTTCACTAAGAAAGAATATACAAGCCAATGGCGCGCGCGTAGATTCAAAAATTTCAATCGACTCGTCGACAAACAAGGCGACGAATTTTACCTCAAAAAAGGAACGGAGGCGTTTGAACGGTGAGACTTTGCCAAATCATCAACCAGGCAAGAATGATGATGAACGAAACTTGCGTTAAGTAACATCAATTTGCCTATCGCATAGAAGAACTCAATCAACGAGTACGCCATGTTTTGCACGACCTCTAGCTTGTTGATGATTGAAACGAAAGTACCGCCCGAGTTGATTCGGGGCGGTATGCTGTTGCTAATGCTGTTGCGACTGTTGCTGTTGTTGCTGCTGCTGTTGCTGTTGATGATGAAGCATGGTCATAGCTCCGGTTTCGGCGGCTGTAGGCAACACCACGGTGGACTGCTCGCTGACCGAGATCTGATGAATCTGAGCCTGAGATCCTTGCCCAACTTGTATCTGGATTTGCTGCAGCTCCGGCACCGAGGACTGTTGCTGCAGTTGCTCCACTTGTTGCTGTTGCTCTGCTTGCTGTTGATTTTGCGCGGAATCCGTGTTCAACGGGTCCTCCTTGGCACGCTTGGCGAGATGCGATCTCGCATGCTTCCTAAGGTGGTCCTTGCGATAAAACGCTTTCCCGCACTCAGTACAGACCTCGGTTTTCTGCCCAGAATGTATAACGAAATGGAGATTCAAGTGTTCTTTTCGCTTGAAACCCTTCATGCAAACGGAACAAATGAACGGCCTGTCGGGATTGTGGCCCAATTTGTGCCGCTCCAAGTGTTCCTTCCGTTTAAGACCAGCGCCGCAGATGTCGCAAATGAATCGCCTCTCGATTTTGTGCCCAATTAGATGCTGTTCCAAGCTCTCCTTCTCCGGATACGCCATGTTGCATTGAGGGCAGCAAAACAGAGTCGTACCGTCAAGCGCGGTAACTATGCTCACCTGTCCTGGTTTTGGTTTCTTCGGTTTTGGAGGTTTCTTCTTGTACTTCTTCTTGCGCTTCGGCTTCACTCCCGGCTCTTGTTCCTCCACAACATCAGGAATGATCGCAGTTTCGCCCCCGGCAACAGTAATCTGTACCGCCTGCTCCCCCGAAGCTGCACCGCCGGAAGTATCGAGACCGTCCGCTCCGAGCGGACTGGACTCGATGGTAGCTTCTCGCTTTATAGTCTCCGCAGAGAACTTGAGAAAATGTTGCAAACTAATGGGCAAGGTACTGGTAGGCAGTCGAGACAGATAGTCCGCGACTTGAGCGGAACCCGCAGCGAGACTCTGCCAGCTGGCGGGCATAGAGGTAATGAATTCTTCTCCGCTCTGATTACCTTGACTCTTGACGCTACCTCGTTTAATAAGGGCCACCGGTGTTGTGCCCTCCTTCACGTCTTCCTTCGACTCCTCTATGCTCTCTCGCAATATCAAATCTTGCGGGATCTGAGCGACCACGGTCAATCCCTCGGGCGCTCCTGGCAGTTGCACAGTTTGCTGGATAGTCTGCTGGGATGTGGTGGTCACGGCAGTAGACGTGCTCTGTGTCGTTTGGTCGGATCTACAAGAATAAATGTAGTTTCAATGAAGAAAAACTCTTCGGGCATCTCGACAACATTCTTGCGGAATACATCAAACTTGCGATCGATTGAGCACGTTTGTAAAATATCTCGAAAATTCTCCTTTTCCGATAACAATCTCAATAAACCGCCGTGAGATCAACATTATGGGAAAAGATGAAGAGGAAAGTCATGTTGATGTTATTTATCGATTGTTAGGGCATACCTTTTTAATTCCACATATTTCGCAAGAACATTTCGGACAAGCGTCATTCTGACGAACAAGACAAAGAACCTTAAACAACCTGTGGTGTACTTACGTTTGCGTAGTCGCTACGGTGTTTTGCGGTTGTACTTGAATTTGAACCCCATCCGCGCCCTGCTGACTGTAGGCGACAGTGAGAACGGTAGCTGCTCCTTGAGGGAACTGGCCCAGTGATATCGGCGCCAAATGATACTTGGGTTGATCGCCGCTGTTTCCGCTCTGTGATACGCTAGGGTTGACAACTTGTATCTGAACAGTCTGCTGTTGTTGCGTTCCATCTTTCCCTGGCACGGTGATGGGTAACGTTATGATCTGCTGTTGCTGATTGTTGCCACCTTGAGCGACGGCGAAGCCATTCGGGTCGACCGGCCTTAAGTAGTGCACTCCGCCCTCACCACCGGACAATACTCCAACAACTTGCCCGCCGGTGGTAAGATTTTGTGCGAACTTGGCCGTAGCGAACTGATGAACAGTGCCTGGCGTCGTGAACCCGGTGAATGGTGTAAAATTCATTTTGCAGCTTCGGAACTGTAAAAGAGATCGGTGTATTTCAGCGGTTAAGTTGCGGAGCTGATTACAACATGACACAACAATGCAATCCTACGATTCTTCCGAAACGACGACACTTCTAATATACAGGATCAACATTTTAATTGCGAAACTTGAGTTTTGTCGAGAGAACGTTACTCCGTGAATCCTAACATAGATCGCTAAAAAAAAAGTCGAATATCACGGATGAGACCGAGTTTTCCCATCCGATTGACACTCCAACGAGACATCTTTCATATCGCACGGTGAAGTTCGACATCACGATCTCATTTCATCCACGCGACATCAGAAGCATCGAACCTAACCTAAGTCACCCCGACCTAGTCTAACTTTCCCTCCCCTTTTTTCACGAGAGAAACAAAATGAAAATCCCACGTCGTTTTTAGCGAGTGTCGGACGAGCAACGTGTTCTTGACTCGCGGACTCGCCTTGGTGATACCGCTCCGCGAGGGTGGGGTGAGGGCTCCCCCACTTCACCCCCTTCTCCCTACCTGAAAGGGATCCGGGAGCAGGGAGGATAGTCGTCAAAGTGGCCCAGGATCCCACCCCACTCCATGGCGATGGTGCCCCTACGGGCGCCGTAAGGGGTAGGAGCGCGATGAGGGTAGGGGGGGAGGTCTATAGGTGGGAACCTACCGCGAAATAGAGCTCGAGAATCCGCTCCTCTTTCTCCCGCGTTACCTCAACGCGGCGTGTGCCGCGAGAATGGAACGAGAAAGAAGGCGAACGGGAAAGGGTAGGGGAATGCCAAGAAAGAAGGGAGTCAAACTCCGGCACACCGGCGTTCCCCGGGGAAGGGGAACGCGAAAACGTCGGGGGCGAAAGCACCCGGCAGACACCGTGCCAGACGAATTGGGACAATGATGATGACGGATAACGACGCGAGAGAGAAAGAGAGAGGCCAACGTCGGACGTTCCCCGCCCGTCAGTATCAATGTGCGGAGAAAGAGAGAGAGAAAGAGAGACAAGAGAATGAGGTTAAGATACCGTGTGTGTGTGTGTGTGCGCGTGTCTCACGGGATGCTCGTTCCGTAGTACGAGGCACGTTTCCTTTTCCTACGTTTCACTCACCACGCGACGTGTTTTTCGTCGTACGCGAAATGGCGTACACGACTGATCGGTCAACTCCGCTGTTGGTCGTACTGATCGTGCTGCTCTCGCAAGACGCGCATGTCGTAATGGCGCACACCGATTCTCTCCTAAGGTTAGCCTCGACTAAGTCTATCCTTCTCCCACGTGACGCCGCAAGGCGTTCTTATTCGCTCATACGTTCTCTCACGCGTTTCCCATCCATTCGCTCGCACGTACATACGCACGCATGTACGCACGTACGTTCTTTACACGACCGCGCCCTCTTTTTTTTCTCTCTCTCGGGACGCCTGTCTTTCCGCATGCACGTTCGCGGATTTTCCACAAAATCCGTCCGTTCTGTCGCGCGCACTGCCGTGAAAAAGCACGTGCCGTCGGTGTTACTACGCGCGGGACGCCGCACGCCGAGCGGATCGGCGGGCTTTTGTGCAACGTCGTCGCCCGCTTCCGTTCCACGCTACTGACCCACGCTCTTCGTCATCCTTATTCCGATCGCATCGAAAGAGAGTGAGAGGGAGGAGAGGAGAGAAAGCGAGCGCGTCGCGAGGACGAAAGCGGGTGTTCGAGGAGGTGAAAACTTTCCCCTCGGCTCGACGAGCATCATCGTCGTCGTTATCGCGCCGTCACGCACAAAGCGTAGGTAGCTCGTAGCCGCCATGATGGAAAAAATCGCCACGTAACGAGGCGAGAGAAAACCGCGCGACTTGGACGGCTACTCTTCTCTCGCCCTCTCCTTCGCGGTTCCTCTCCCGCTCGGTGCATCGCGAACCCCTTCTAACATGCACGCGGATATTTCCCCTCTCCCTTCTCTCTCTCTCCCTACTTTATCCCTCTCATCTTTTCGCTAGCACGTCACATACAACCGTAAGCGCGCGCCCTACTATGTACCCGGGACCGAGAGGACGGAAGTAGGAAAAAAGATCGGCACGCGAAAGACACATCAGCTGACGGAGAGCAGGGCAGAGGCGAAGGCACACAGGCAGGGCTGTTGTTTACACCCCCACCTCGATGGGTTAGAGGCAGCGAGATGCCACGGAGGGGCCTCCGAGACCTCGACGAACACCCACCACCACGCAATTTCCAACCCCACCAGCCTCTCAACCACTGTCCGCACCTCCAACCACCCCACCAAAGCCAGCTCGAGCCAAGCCGTGAGCCACGACGAGGGCCCCGCGACGATTTTAGTGTCTTGGGGTGGGTGCTCTCTGTGGCCACTGTTTCGCGGTTCCGTCGTTGAGAGTGAGGCACCTGCCACTCGGCGCCGTCGGCTCGATAACAAAGCCGCCGCGCTTAAAAGTACGCGATTGTGTAATACATGCATCATCGAACATACGCGGAGAGAAACGATCGTGCCGAGAATGGGTATGCTGCTGTCCGGTGGTGCTACTTACTTGTACGTACAGGTGAGAGCCAGCAGCTGCGATTCCCCGTACGTGCTCGGCTCAGCGTACCGCTGCTACTGTCGCCGCCTTCGTTCTCCTGGTAGCTTAGTACGGAAATCAGCCGTCTGGCCTGCGTCGTCGTTCCCAATCCTCAACGCAACGGCAACGACTTTCTCATTTCTACATGCACAACGCTGCTGCTCGACGATGTACTCGTTGCGTCTGTCGGTGCATACGTCATACGTGCTGGCGTATGTGGACGGGACGCGCGCGCGTTTCCTCTAACGGAAACTCCAAGAGAGTGACTCCGCGATAAATTCGCGCTCGCACACTGCCGTTCGGTTCTCTCTCTCTGTCGGACTTTCTCGTTGCGTGTGTGTGTGTGTGTGTGTGCGCGTCTCTCTTTATCTCTTGCTCGCGCGCGCAATGATTCCCGTTCAACAGAGGGACGCGCACTACGTTTCCGGGTTTTACGACTGCGATTGAATTCGGTCCTTCTCGGCCGGTAGGTGGGCAGACAGGCGAACTTGGATCTCGCCCGAACTGGCTAATGAAATAAATTCGAGCTAACGGTACATAACTGCCCGACACCACGGTGGCCACGCGTTGACTCCGCGAGTCTCTGAGCGCCGCTCTCCTGGAAAGTCCAACGGAGTCGCGCCGCCGCGCACCGTTCTCCGTGCACGCTCTCTTTCTCTCTCGCACGCTCCGTTCGCCCGCCTGCGTATTCCTCCGCTCGACTTCGTCTCTGGGCTAACGTCACAGCCGCATCATCATCTTCGTTTCGCGATCGGTCATCCTTCGGATCGAGATTGCGCTTAGCTCGTCGCGAAGCGTTGTCTATTAATATTTTATCGATCGATACATCAATTATGGCGACAATTACACGCGTGAGGCGCAGACGTTGAAAACGTGAAAGAGAGAGGGAAGACGAGCGGGTGCTGACAGATTGAGAATGTGGCGCGTGCGCGCGATCGCCGATTAAACGGACCTACGAGAGAGACGATGCTCCGCCTGCTCTCGCGATGCAACCGCGAAACTTTCGCACCGAACTATCCCGCACGGTTCAGCCAGAGATAAACACCTGTCCGTCTCCCTCTAAGCAACAGTTACTCTTACAACCATACACGACTGCGAGACAACGTCGACTTACACGCACCTAGCGGATACTAGAATGAGGTTAAGTGAGCCGATGTCAACCGACAGTTCGGCCATCTTTTCCGGTCGGAATGCGCGCGCTCATACGAAATCACGGTCTATCGAATGTACGACGGTTTTCTCAGGGAGAGAAAGAAATAACAGGATTATACACGGCATGGTAAAACAGACGTAAGGGCGGGGG